ACACAGACTCTCACACACACACTCACAGACTCACAGACTCACACTCACAGACTCTCACACACACACACACACACTCACACACTCACAGACTCACACACAGACTCACTCACACACACAGACTCACACTCACACACACACACACACAGACTCACACACACACACACCCACACACTCTCTCACACAGGCACAGATACTAATACACTCACTCACTCACACACGCACATCACTGATACACACTCACACATAACTAATACACACACACACACAGACAGAGAGACACACATCACTAATACACTCACACACAAACACACATCACTGATACACACACACATACATCACTGATACACACTCACACACACACATCACTGATATGCACTCTCACACACACACACGTCACTGATACACACGCACACATCCCTGATACACACACACATCACTGATATGCACTCTCTCACACACACACGTCACTGATACACACGCACACGTCACTGATACCCACTCACACATCACTGATACACACTCACACACACACATCACTGATATGCACTCTCTCACACACACACGTCACTGATACACACGCACACGTCACTGATACACACTCACACATCACTGATACACACTCACACTCTCACACACACACAGACAGAGAGACACACATCACTAATACACACACACACACGCACATCACTGATACACACACACACACATCACTGATACTCACACACACACACACACACACAAACACATCACTGATACACACTCTCACACACACACACACACACACATCACTGATTCACACTTACACGCACACATACACACACACACACACACACATCGCTGATACACACTTGCACACACACAAGCACGCACACACAAACACATATCACTGATACACGCTCACACACGCCACATGTGTTAATGGCTCAGACACTTACAGGCTCTGAGTGAATGTTTTTAGTGTCACAAAGGTCAGTTCATATGTTTTATCTGTTGTCAGATGTCACTCAAATCATTTTCCACATTCACATGCAGTCATTTACACTCATACTGAAGCGTTTGCATTGTAGAGTCCTGCATATGTATAAGACATCTATGAATTATATTTATTAATCTTTTTAAGTATTTATTATAAAAGACTTTTGGTCTTCACATTGATTAGTTATGCGTGTGTGCAGTTATCATGCTATTCTCAGAATCAGTTTTTATATACAGTGGAGTGCAGCTGATCCTGCAGCGTGTCTTTTGTTAGTCATTCTCCGGCGACGTGTAGCGTAACGTGTCAGTAAATGATCGAATGTTAAAGCAGAAGTAGCTAATCAAAGTTAAACTGAATGAAATTCCCCTGTAAATGTGTGTGTGTGTGTTTCGCAGGAAGGGACACAAACGTGTTAGTCTACATCAAGAGAAGACTCGCCATGTGCTCCAGAAAGCTCGGCCGCACACGAGAAGCTGTCAAGATGATGCGAGACGTGAGTGACCTTTGACTCCTGACACACACAGAAGAAACGAAGCCTCATTTTTATTAGTAATGCAATCAGCAAACTGCTCGCAGTATATACTCATAGATATCAAGCATGAGCGGCGTGCTGTTATTCTGAAAATGCCGGAATTATTGTGCCCAACTGAGGTAATAATGCAATTACGATTCAAAGCATGTGCATTAGTTTTCAATAATTCAATGCCTGTCGTAAATGAAACCACATAATTTGTTCATGTAAAGCGCTCAAATGTAGAATGAGCAGCAGAAGTTTGCAGAGTTGGAGAATGTGAGCTGTTGTTGTGTTTCCTGCAGTTAATGAAGGAGTTTCCTCTGCTCAGCATGTTC